TAATTGCATTTGCTCAGTTTTGTCTGGGTGGGGATGAGTAGTGCGTGCTAACACTTCAGGCTGTCCTGCTCGAACATTTGTACAATTATGGAGGATAATCGGGACTCATTTTATCGGCCGCGTTGGTCGGCTGTCCAAGAGACATTGGGTCAGAATTGGGCCCTTAATCCGGCTTTGCTAACTTTGATTAGGTGATCATCCAGCCTATTTTCCTCGCATGGGGCATCTATTCGACATCGTTCAATTTCGACATGTTTAAAGACTGCCTTGACTACGGACCAGATGATTTCGAGTGAAAAAAAAAGTGTAAAGGCTTGCCACTTACAGACCTGAAACAAGGAGGCGTGTTTGGTTAGAGTGAACTTGCCGAGAGCATTCAAGTTGATGAATGGCATCTTTTATAGAAAATATGAAGACCAAGATGTTGTGGCCTCTGGTATGGTGGCAGTCTCTTTTCTATTTATACAAATGGGTTGACCTCGCTGTTGCAACTTGGTCTTATTGTCAGGGGGACTTAGTAGAACGCACCTTGTTCGAAGTCGTCCGCCATAGTAGTTGTCATGATTCCCAGTACATTCTTAGAATGTACCAAGTCCACTGTCTGATGCTGAGAATCGTGACAACCACTATGGCAGACGACTTCGGACTAGGTGCGTTCTACTAAGTCTCCCTGACGACATATTTTATAGTTAAGAAAAAATTTTTTTCTATTCTGCCTATTCGTTTAGAATTTACTCCTTGGACATTATTACCGCCGTTCCGGCAAGACTGAGCAAATGGTCGGTAATTATAATCGGACTCCAGGCGACGGAGGAGACTACGCGGAGGATGAAGAAGAGGCGATCGAAAAGCTAGACGCAGGCGAGGAGGAGGTACGCAGAAAGCAAATGGCCGCATCCAAAGTGCCGGGCAGAGGCTATGTGAATGGTGAAAGAGAGGCCTGGGGACGTAGGAGTGCACACAGACGAGGCAGAAATTCTTCGGCAATTCTGGCCGACCTCCTGATGCCCCGCTGTAGAAGCGTCCATTTTTCCACGGATGTACTAGTGGCGCACACCGGCAACGGCAGCGAACCCATCCTCCTGTCCTCAGCACCCCTCAAAGACCTTTCTGACAATACAAGTAGACCTATGGTGCTATCTCCTTCAAGTAGATCATGTTTTGAGTGTCTATGCCGATTCGATCTTAATGCTTTTTCTTGGATCGGGGACTGAGTTACCGTAGGCTTATAAGGAAAAGCGACTTAGTGGGCTGGCACAAACAGATCAAACATGGGCATTTAGTAAAATGCCACTTCTGGCTGGTGCTTGTGTTGTGTGGCGGAGACGGATTTAGGCCAGCCACCCCCGATGGGATTCCCCATATGCTAAATCGGTTACACCTAATTGCAGCAAGAGGAGCCAGTTGCATTAAATCCTGTGATTTCCCTCTCTTTTTCTCAATTGTAATGACAAAGCTCAGAGGAGGCTAGCTCATAAAATCAAACGGTCCCTGAGTATGGCGTTAATTCCAAAATAGCGACTGTAGATCGAGAAGCAAAATTCGGTTTTCAGTAGGCTCTTGCAGTATAATTGTTGAGCTCACTTACACTTCGAGTGAAAATGTTTAGGGAAGTGATTCGAAGAAGACGACGACGGATTCCTCTTGACCAGCTGTCGATCGTTTTCACTGGAACATTCCGGTCGGCGCTGTTGTTGAGGCAATCTCCTTCGATTCCGATGAAGACGTGCTAAACTTTTATCCGTCATTTTTACTGGAATCGAAGGGAACAGTGTTAGCGAGAATGTTCCAATAAAGTCAATCGACAGCTGTTCAGGAGGAATCTGCCATTGTCTTCTGGTGGGCTCTACCTTCGAATCTCTTCACCAAACACCTTCACTCTAAACCGAAGTGAGCTCAACAATTTTAATCCTCGAGCCTATTTAGCATATGACGTTAATCTGCCTATGCCCATGCTTTCGGGGTATGGCATCTGCCAAAACGGAGGTCCAGTT